TGCTCGCCGCAACTAGAGAAAGCCTGTGTGCAACAACGAAGACCCAACACAGCCAAAAATAAATAAATAATAATAATTTATTTAAAAAAAGAAGTAGGCACTAAAAAGACAATAGAAAAGATCAGTGAAATGAAGAGCTGATTCTTTGAAGAGATAAAATTGACAAACCTTTAGTTAGGCTCACTAAGAAAAAGAGAGGGCTTAAATAAATAAAATCAGAAATGAAAGAGGAGAAATTACAACTGATACCAAAGAAATACAGAGGATTGTAAGAAAATGAATAATTATATTCCAACAAATTGGACAACCTAGAAGAACTGGATAAATACCTAGAAACATACAATCTTCCAAGACTGAATCATGAGAAAATAGAAAATCTGAATAGACTGATTACTAGTAAGGAGTTCAATCAGTAATCAACTCCCAACAAACAAAAGTCCAGGACCAGGCTTCACTGGTGAATTCTACCAAATATTTAAAGAAGATTTAATACCAATCCTTCTCAAACTCTTTTAGAAGACAGAAGAGGGGGGCCTTGTGCAGTGGCAGTATCATAGCCAATGAGATTTATCTGAGGTGTGATATTGCTAATTGAAAACTTTTCCCTGTACCCTTCCATGACGACTTGAAATATAGTCGGCACTGGCAATTTTTGACAGTCTCTGCAGAGACTGCATAATAAAATTTTTAAAAAAAGGAGGGAACTCTTCCAAACTTATCTTTTGTGAGCAGCATTATTCTGATACCAAAACCAGTCAAGGACCCCACAAGAAAAATTATGGACCAGTATCCCTGATAAACATAGATGCAAAAATCCTCACCAGAATATTAGCAAACCAAATTCAATAATACATTAAAAGGAGCATATGTCATAATCAAGTGGGATTTATTCCAAGGATATCAGGATATTTTAACACCCACAAATCAATCAGTATAATACACCACATTAATAAAATGAAGGACAGAAATCAATGATTATCTCAATAGATGAAGAAAAAGCATTTGTTGAAATGCAGCATTACATTTTTGATGAAAACTCTCAACAAAGTGGATATGCATGGAGCATACCTCAACATAGTAAAGTCCATATATGACAAGCCAACCACTAGCATCATACTTAATGGTGAAAAGCTGAAACCTTTTCCCTTAAAATCAGGAAGAAGACAAGGATGCACACTCTTGCCACTTCTATTCAACATGGTATTGGAAGTCCTAGCCACAGCAGTTAGGCAAGAAAAAGAAATAAAAGTCATCCAAATTGGAAAGGAAGAAGTAAAACTATTAATATTTGCAAATGACATGATTTTATATGTGGAAAACTATAAAGACTCTGCCAAAAAAAACTCTTAGGATTAATAAATGAGTTCAGTAAAGTTGCAGGATACAAAATTAATATACAGAAATCTGTTGTTTTTATATACTATCAATCAATGAACAATCAAAAATAAAAATTATGAAAACAATCTCATTTACAGTTGCATCAAAGAGAATAAAATTCTAGGAATAAATTTAGCCAAAGAGGTGAAAGACTTGTACATGGCAAACCATAAAACATTGATGAAAGAAACTTAAGAAGACAAAAATAAATGGAAAGATTCCATGCTCATGAATAGGAAGACTTAATTTTTTTTTTTTTTTTTTTTGTGGTACGCGGGCCTCTCACTGCTGTGGCCTCTCCCGTTGCAGAGCACAGGCTCCGGACGCGCAGGCTCAGCAGCCATGGCTCACGGGCCCAGCCACTCCGTGGCATGTGGGATCTTCCGGGACCGGGGCACGAACCTGCGTCCCCTGCATCGGCAGGCGGACTCTCAACCACTGCGCGCCACCAGGGAAGTCCGGAAGACTTAATTTTGATTAAATGTTCATATTACCCAAAGCAGTGTACAGATTTAGTGCATTCCCTTTCAAAATTCTAAGGGCATTTTTGATAGAAATGGAACAATCCATCCTAAAATTTGTGTGGAACCATGAAGATTTCGACTAGCCAAAATAATCTGGAGAAAGAACAACAAAACGAGGTGTCACACTCCCTGATTTCAAACTATATTGCAAAGCTATAGTAATCAAAACAATATGGTATTGGCATAAAAACAGACACATAGGTCATGGGACAGAATAGAGAGCCCATAAATAAACCCATGCATATACAGTCAATCAGTTTAGATAAAGGAGGGCAGAATGTACAACGGGGAAAGGACAGTCTCTTCAACACATAGTATTGGGAACACTGGACAGCCACATGTGACAGAATGAAACTGGACCACTAGTGTACGGCATGCACAAAAATTAACTCAAAATGGATTAAAGACTTGAATGTAAGACCTGAAACCATAAAACTTCCAGAAGAAAACAGGTGGTAAGTTTCTTGACATCATTCTTGGTGATATTTTTTTGATCTGACTCCAAAGGCAATGAGCACAAAAGCAGAAATAAACAAATGAAACTATGTCAAAATAAAAAGCTCTGCACAGCAAAGGAAACCATCAACAGAATAAAAAGGCATCCTGCT